AAGACGGACAATTCTTGAGGGAAGAGGGATGCTAAGGGAAGCATACGAAGGACTCCCCATTATTCAGAAACCTCTCATTGTCCCAAACAGTTTAGATGGAAGGGACTCCAAGCTGGAAGGTGATATGGGAAGGAGCTGGTGTGTAGAGCATTACAGGGGAAGCTCCACTATAGCCCAGATGAATCCAGCTGTGTCTCATTGACCCAGGGGCTGGAGAAGGAAGTAGCAGCTCTAAGTGGTGCACATAGGCGCTGCACCCCATGCTGTCTTTGAGGATGGAGGAGTCCCTAAGCGCTTGTCACATCCTTGGGAATGTCTGAGCCCAGCTGTACAATGAGGGGGAAGTGTAGGGTGTGATTAGGAAAGCAGCATCAACATCCTGAAACCCAGGAGTACAGCTGACCAAGTGGCCAGAGGGGAAAGGCTGAGCTCTGAAATGACAGTCTGTTGTTCCTCCACCATCTCCACACCCCTGCTATATAATGTGATGGTCAGAGACGAGATGTTTTTAGTATGTTAGAACTCTCTGCCCTCTGGCATTGCAGGCTCTTCATAAAGTACAATTTAAAGATTACATTATAATTTCCAATCATTTGAATAAAGTACAGTTTAAAGATTGCATTTTAATTTCTAATCATTGGCATTCACCTTGATAGGAAGTATAAGCCTCAGGGTTCTGGTTACCTGCTCTGCTCCCTCTGCCTGGATGGCTTTAGACTCTCCATCTAGTCACTGACTTAGTGAGGAGGCTCAACCATGCCTGGACAAGGGATCCTAAGCTCTTGTGAAGACTCCCTGCCCCAGCTCCTGGCACTCCTTGTCACTTTCACTTAGTGAATTGAATTGTTATGCTCCCAGTTTTGTTCCTGGGTTTCAGCTTGCTTTGCTTCTGGTTTAACAAAGTTATGGCGCATGAGGCGTCTGGTTTAAAGGCACTGCTCTGTCCTGCTGTTTGGATCTCCTTCACAATTCTGGCTGTTCTAATGGGTGTCATAGATCCCATTCCTGGGGACAACACTTAGGGAAGAGCATCCCGACAACTGGCCTGATTATGTTTACTATCTTATAAGAAAAAGAAAATGATATACTATTGTAAAAGTTCTGGCCAGTGTATGTATTAAATCCTGGGGTGGTGGTGGCCATTAGATGTTTCTCTAATTATCATACTACTTTGTAATTATAGTTGTTTAGCCAATGAAAGGAAAGATATTATCTTAAGTATACATAATGAGTATACTTACAATCTCACTATTTTGATTTCATTTCAGGAAGTTCTGTTCAAGAGATGTAAATTTGCTACCTTGTTTCTATTTAAGGGTGCACCCTGAATTGGTAGAATTGCTTTCAAAATACATTTTCTTTATTTTTATTGTGAGTGTGTGTATGTGTGTAATGTGTGATGTGCGGGTGTGTGCATGCGTGGCAGTCGTGTGGCGGTCAGAGGACAAATCTGTAGATTGAACTCTGTCATTTTACTCCTAGTGGTTGCCAGGGATCAAGCTAGGTCATTAGGATTGTGCAATAAGTACTTTAGTCACCAAGCCATCCCATCGATGCTAACGCAATTGTTTTTATGTAACATTTTATATCTATAACAGTTTGTAACAAAATTTAATCTGGCCTTAGAGATCCTGACTGTGAACGAATGGAAGATTTACAGCTTCTATTTTGTATGTTATATTTTAAAATGAATACACAAACTGAGTCCAACCAATTATTGGTAGGCCCAATAGCCCAGTCTGTACTACTGGATACCCACTGCCTTTTATTTCTTCAGTAAAAAGCCAGATACTTGCTGTCTCCCACAGTTTTCTGGGTAACAAATGCCTTTTGTATCTCATACTATAATTACAGGGTTGGCATAAAGATTTTTGGCCTCCTCCCTTATGCTTTCTTGCTTATACGATATAGTTCCTTATCCAAGATCATTGAAGACTTTGTTAGCTTGCCAGCCTCTGCTGGAATGTAAGATTCTGCAACACTCAGATATTAGTAAGACAAAGAAAAATGTGGAAAACATATTTTAAAAAAAACTAAGCAGCAACGGAGTCTGCTTAGGTCTTGCACAGACGGGAACTTTATAGCTCAATAAATGTGGGTGAGAAATCTTAATCTGTTACACTATGTCATAAATGTAATTTGGATTGACTACTTTCTTAAGAAGCTGATAGATATGTTTGCTATATTGCTGGGTCTCATGATATCAAGAAAGGAAATAAAGCCAAAACCCAAACCAAACCAACAACAAAATAGTTTAGTGGGACAGAGAGAAATGCAGGAGAAAATAGAAATGTGTATTTTTGATAAGAAAATTTAAGAAGTATTTTTTAAGAAAGGTTTTTTTTTTTGGCATGGTAAAATAAGAATTTGCTCTAAGATAAAACGACTGGAGTTTTCCAAAATGGTAAAAGATAAAGCCAGGGGACTTAAGCACATCCCAGAAGATCCAAAGCAAACCACACAGGGGTTGTAGACAGAATCTTCTTTAGCGGTAGTACCGTATGGTGACTGAAGGCTATCAAAATTCCTGAAGTTAAAATCAAGTACATGAATAAAACGAAGGTCTAGCTCTCTCATTAAATTTGGAGTGATATGTAAGTTAAGCCTTTATATCTGGCTTTAAGTGAAATATATAGTAAAGCCTTTGTGTCTGACTTTGTGTCTGACTTTGTGTCTGACCTTTGTGTCTGACTTTGAGAGAAATGTTTCAGCAAAGCCTTTGCTATTTTTGGGTTAATCAAAAGTAATTGTTTTGAGACTGTTTGAACCTTAAAGAAATGTTGTTTCTAGACTTGGTGCTACGCAAGAGCTTGCAGCTACATGGGCCTTGGTCCTAAGATACTCCTGGCAGACCTGGAGTTCTTACTTTTGTTTATGGATGGCCATAATCAAAAGGGATTGAGATTTGTGCTCTCATGGGCAGCAAGAGCAAGATGACTTTGGTAGTTGGAACCTTTCCAAGCCCTTATTAGCCTTGTATATGTTTGAATAAAGTAACTGGAGTGACTAGCTGGGTATCAGTCTTTTCCAAGAAGGTAGAACCCCTCTGCTGCCTTGGAAAATGGAGGCTTAGCATCTTGGTGAGCTTCTGTCTCTATTGTCACTCCTATAACGCAACATCAAACAATATAAACCAATGAGCTTCTCTAAAGATATCGATTTGTTCTTGGTAACATTTACAAAACCAAATTAAAAAAAATTATCTTTGATCAAGGTATGCTTTCTTTCAACTTTGTCAGCCTCTAAACTGCTTAGAAAACTGAGTCTTAAAGGCTTATTTAAGTATCTATTTACAACTTCTAAAAAAAGAGCATTTGTTGTTATCTTTATTTTTGTGTGCATGAGTGAGTGTGTGTGTGTGTGTGGTGCCACATGTGTGCAGGTGCTCACAGAGGCCAGAAGAAGGCATCAGATCCCTTGGGTCTGGAGTTACAGGCAGTTGTGAGCTGCCTGATGAGAGTGCTGAGAATTGAACTCAGGTCCTCTGCAAGCAGTGAGTGCTCTTTACCCCTGAGCCATCTCTCCAACTTCATTTTCAACTTTATAAGCAAGGTTATTTTAAGATGGTGCTACTTATTTCCAAATGGTTCTAGCAGAAAATAACTAGATTACTTTTGCTGATTGTGAAGCTTTTTGCAAAAACTCTAACCAGGACTATTCTAATTGTTTTGTTTCCCACAGTTCTAGTCTTTATAAAATTTATAATTTAGATAGCTGGTTCCAGAGGGATGAGTCTGTTACTGTAAGCCCAAAATAAAGCCTTCTTCTATAAGTTGTCTTGGTCATAGTATATTAAATCCCAGCATATTAAACTAGTGCCTTCTCAGGTCACCAGGTGTTTGAGTAAAGTACAACTTAAACCTGCAACTGTTGTCTGCTCACTGTGGTCGTTTGTACTGATAGACAGAAATGGCTTCAACATTCCAGTAACACATTGATGACTCATGGTGTCTGCTTCTACATTTCTATTCTCTCTGATCAAGCACCTCATCAAACCTTCCCCCATCTCAATCCCAGTATTTCGAAAGGTGGCCATTGATGGGGGATGTCCTTCTGTATATGTTTCTCATACTGGTTGGTGAATAAAACATTGTTTGGCCCATAGAGGCAGGAAGATAGGCGGGGCTAGGAGATGAGGAGAATTCTGGGAAAGGTAGGCAGAGGGAGATTGTGAAGAGATGTCACGTAGAGACCAGGAGGGTAGGAAACACCAGGCTTTCCTGGTAAGATAAGGCCATGTAGAAGTACATAGATTAGTAGTTATGGGTTAATGATTGAGACAGTCCATAAGAAGCCCTAGCTATCGGCCAAAAGATTAATAATGAATATAGTGTCTCTGTGTGTTTATTTGGAGCTGAGAAGGGTGGTGGGACCTGGAGGGACAAGAAAATCCAGCAACATGCCATGCTGCCTAGAGCCTCAGCGATAAAGCCTCACTGATTAGAGGAAGTAGCCAGTCCTCTCACCAAAATTAATTGAAGGAACCTTAGAACACTCCCCAGTACTACATGGAATTTTCAGAGGATGCTGAGCTCCTAGGAGTCATCTGTGAAACCACCACAAAAACAGAACTAAGAAATGAGGGTTCCTGGAGCTTTTGTTTACAACCTTTATCCAGTTGTGCTTGAAGACCTCCCTTCCCTGACCTCTAACAATAGGTTCCCTTTTTTCTTTTTTTCCTCTGTTACTTGTGTATGGTTTTGTACATGGCAGGTAAGTGGTCTCTCTCTGAGCTACACCCCCAGACAATAGAGTCCCTTTCTTTTTTTTTTTTTTTTTTTTTTTTTTTGGTTTTTCGAGACAGGGTTTCTCTGTGGCTTTAGAGGCCGTCCTGGAACTAGGTCTTGTAGACCAGGCTGGTCTCGAACTCACATAGATCCGCCTGCCTCTGCCTCCCAAGTGCTGGGATTAAAGGCATGCGCCACCACGCCCGGCTAGATTCGCTTTCTTGGGTAAGATTGGGCTTCCGTCACTCACAACTCTAACAGACCTCAGCAGCCTGGGACCAGAAGTCATGGCTTCTGTTCCACAGGGCTTCATCTCCTTCTCTGTTTGGTCTTATAGGTGTGAGGAGGACTGGGAGAAGAAGAAACAGAGAAGAGGCCAAGCTTGAGATCCTGGGAGACATACCTGGGGCCTGGAGCAGGAGAGCAATGGTATCCGGGTGGATGAGCCGCAGGACAGGGTAGACAGGTCCAACCCAACAGAGGTGGATATCACGGAAGTAGTGGCCCAAATGTGCTGCAAACTGCATGCCTTCCTCGTTGCTCTTCATCTAGGAAATGAGAAATCTGAGGCTAGTCCTGGAAAGGTATCCTCCCGCTCTGCCAATCACCCCGCCATCTCTCTCAACCCTTCTGCTTGCATCATTAATCTATGGTTCTTGCTGAGCCACCGCAGGTTCATCCATATGTGTCTCTTACTATATTCAACTTTCAATCTACCTGCCTCTCTTTGACACCTCACTTTCTTTAATTTTATGTTCCTTACTTTAAACAGTGGTTTGATGACTTAATAGGAAAATATACACAAATGGTTTATAAATGGGACACTTGATAGACAACACAGATGATACAAGGACGTGCTAGATAAATGGTAAAGGGCCAAAAAATGTTAACTAGAGCTGAACTTTAGATAATGTAGGTATGGGAAATTTCTGAATGGAGCCCCAAAAGTACAAGAAACATCCCCAAGAATTGAAAAATTAGATTACAAGAAGTTAAAAACCACCATAGAGCAAAAGAAACTATCAACATAGTGGACAAATGTCTCACAGAACTTGAGAAAACAGCTGTCAGCTATATACGAGACAAGGAATTAATATCTAGAATGCATAAACTGAAAAAATTAAACACTCCATACATTGCCGATCAGTAAATGGGCCAACAAACTGGACAGTTCACAAAATAAGAAATGCAAATTACCAGTAAATATTTTAAAGTATTTTTTAATGTTTCTATTGACCAAGGAAAAACTAATTAAATCTTATCATGGACAGTGGGGGTCTAGCACCACCCCGAGATCCACTCCAGCATAATGAAGAGAAAGCCTCAGAGCAGTGGGCAAGATTCTTATGTGAGGGTCACCAGACTTTTCTATCTGAGGGGGGAAACGAACAAGCACACACTTTCTGCTAGTAATCTAAGAAAAAAAAAGGACTAAGCACACACTTTCCTGATGGTGACCTCTTCTTTTACTTCATTCTTTGGTAGTCTCTCTTTCTTGACAATCTCTCTTTAGATATAAACATTTCTCTCCTTCCCAGCACATCCTTTGATATTCAGTTACAGTCACAAATCTCCACGGTCACAGCTACACATCTCATTACACACCCTCTCATCACACAGCACTTTACACAGTTCCTAGGCACGGCTTCTCTCTGGCAGCAGCTCTTTCACACAGCTTTCTCTCACACTCACTCACTAATCCATACTGCTACATCATTCATTCATTCTTTGCTCACTCATTCATTCTCTCACACTTTTCTCACGCTTCTTCAGCTCTCACACTTCTCTCTCCCGTGGCTGCCTTCTTTCTCTTCTCTGGCATATCTCTCCCCTCTGCCTCTGCTGCCCTTTCATCGCTGCTCCTTCACTTTCTGCCTCACCACCCCCTCTCTGGCCTCCCTTCTGCTCTCTTTGTCTTTTTGCTCTGTTTCACTGCCCTCTGCCTCTTCTTTGCTGTCTCTCTCTCTTTTTTTTACACAGCCAAACTCAGGACAATTATAGGTTGTTTTACTGGACCCTACCCAAATTCAAAACAAGTTACATAGTTTCTCTCAGTCCAGGAATGTCACAATGCCCCATGTACATAGCTCGAAGCTGGTGTGGGTTCCCTGACAGAAAATGACATTGAAAATCAAGACTTAACAATTAGTTAGCTGGACCTTGAGCCAGAGCTGGGACTACATGAAGACTAAAGTTGTTTCAAGCTCTGGCTTTAAATCAGCAATACAACACCTGGAAAAATGACCTTGCGTATGTGTCTCCAGGGGCAACCAGATATTGTCTCCAGGGGCAAACAGATATGCTTTGAATTCACTCTGAAGTCTAAAGTTAGCTTGTCTGTGTGAAAGGCTGTCTTTGTGACTGAGACTTATTTCTACTCATCAGAATTATGCAGCCTAAGCATCATGTTTTTGACCATCACAGCTGTATGTGTGCCCAACAAGTATAACACACACCGCCAAAGGGCTGTGGAGAGAACCCACAGCTGTTTTTATTAGGGAGATAAGTAAAGGCACTTGAGAACATAATGGACAGGAACAGCCAGTCATTCATAGTCAATAACCCTATGCTTTGCCAGGTAGGGCTCCCCACAACATCTAGTGACTGAGCTTTGCAGAGTGGCTGCCCAACAACATCTAGTGGGTAGACTTGTTAAACACTAGTTGTCACTGCTGTGCATTCCCACGGCTCTTTGCAAAGTCTACTTTGAGATTCTCCCTCAACCTCATCAGAATGACTACCACCAAGAAAACAAAGTAACTGGAGCTGGAGAGATGGCTCAGTGGTTTAGAGTGCTGGCTACCCTCCCAAAGCAACTGGGTTCAATACCCAGTACCTGCATGGCAACTCACAAATGTCTGCAACTCCAGTTCCAGGGGGATTGAATGCCCTGTTCTGGCTTCTGGAGGTACTGCACACATGTGGTGCAGAGACAAAACAGCATTAATAAAAAAAGAGAGAGAGAGGATAAATGTCGGTGACAATGTAGGAGAGTACGAACCCTTACCCACTGGCACAATTATAAACGGATGTATCCACTGTGTAAATCACTGTGGGGGCTTCTCAAAAAAACTAAAAATAGAAGCGCCACATGGCAAAGCTGTATCACTCCTGGGAATGCACCCAAAGGACTCTACATTCCATTACAAAGTTACTAGCTCATCCACGTTTACCTCCGACCTTCTTCACAATAGCAAGGGAATGGAATCAGCTTAGATTGTTCATCAACAGATGACTGGCTGATGAAAATGTGGGAAATAAAACAACCAAATTTTATTCAGCTATACAACTTGCCAGGAAATGGATGGAACTGAGAAACTGTATTAGGTGAAGTAGCCCAGGCTACTTCATACAAATACAGTATGTTCTCTGTGGACCCTACCCTCTATTAAATACGTCTGCTTAGGTGGAAGTAAATGCAAGTAAAGGCTTGGAAACCAAAAAAAGTCCTATGAGACTGAAAAACAAAAAGGTTTTATTGAAGGGGATGGCGAAGACAACAGACCAAAATAAAAGAGGGTAAAAGAGTATCATGGGGGAAGTGGGAGAGAATCAACCGAAATGAAGTATGTATGAAAATGTTATTAGTAATCTAATCTTCAAAAATCATGTATGTATGTATTGCTGTACTACTTGACTGTTTTTTTTTCTTTCCTTCTCCCCTGTGCATAATGTGTATCTCTTGTTTTGTTTCTATTGGATTCTTCCCAACTCCAGTATTCATTCATCTCTCTTCCCCACCCCATTCAACACCTCATCACTCATTATCATTTGGAGTGCTCTTGCAGCCAATTTTACTTCAACCCCAGCACACCTTCCTGCCACCAGGTGCCTCCCTGTACTGCAGTTAAAAACCCGGAGGCAGCTCCATTCCTAATCCTTAGCTCAGAAAGAATGTAGACCTCTTGTTTCAAGAGGGAATCGATGGCCAACTTAGGAGTTGGACCCCTGGGGGAAAGAGGCAGCCTTGGGAAAGTGAGAAGAGGGAGGAGAGGTTAGGGCTTCAGAGAATTCTATATGAAAATATCAGTGGAAGGAGGAGCCAGCAGTAGATACAGGGACCACAGAGAGGTCAGGGTAAAACAGTGTGGGTATCATCTTGGAACCAAGAAAAGATAAGTCATTGCCATGGAGAGCTTCGGGGAGATAGATGATGTGGAGCTGCTGTTCAGGAACCTAGACATCACAAGAGTGATTAGGACGAGAGAGAAACAGGGAGGGGATAAGAGGCAACCAGTGAAGGTGACTCTGTCCACAAGGAGACGGCAGAGCAAGCAGATGGCAGGTGTCATAGAGAAGGGAACATGCTGGAGGTGAGGCAGGGAGTGGGGAGTGTCCATGTTTATCACCTTGTCCAGCATTGCCGTGGAGAAGACATGAAAACTATGGCTGGCTGAGTTCATCCAAGGTGAAGATTTCTAAATATCTATAAAGGAAAATCTAATGGGCATGAGTCCTGCTGGGAATTTAAGTTATATATGCCCAAGAAATGGGGCACAATAGTTAATCTTGTCTTCCTCCTCCTAACAAGACACCTACATTGTGCCCCTCAATCCCTCTGTAACTCTGACTCTAGGAGATCTGACACTCTCTGCTGGACTCTGCAGACACCTTCATGCATGTATGCATGGATATTCCTTCCCACATATAATTAAAAATAAATCTTTTAATATATAGCTAATGCTGTGTGACAAGTAAAAGAAAAAACAAGGATTGCAATTGTTATGAGTAAGTCTTTCCTATTTTGTTAAGAATAGATTTGTAGCCAGGTAGTGGAGGCCCCACGCCTTTAATCTTTAATCCCAACACTCAGGAGGAAGAGGCAGGTGGATCTTTGTGAGTTTGAGGCCAGCCTGGTCCACAGAGCAATTCCAGGACAGCTAGGGCTCCATAAAGAGAAACCCTGTCTCAAAAAAACACAAACAAATAAATATCAGTAATTAAGTATTGTAAACCTGTTCTGTCATTTTTACCTTAAGGACTACTAAAAGGTTAAGTATTCCTCAGGAGGCTTTGGCATCTATTTGGGGCAGGAGAAAGAATTAACATATTATTGGCTGTGTGTAGGATAGTTACATCAGGTGGAATTATGACTTTATTTTTTGGGGGTGAGTTGGTTTTTTTGAGACAGAGTTTCTCTGTATTGCTTTAGAAGTTGCCCTGGAACTATTTCTGTAGACCAGGCTGGCCTCAAACTCAGAGAGATCGGCTTGTCTCTGCCTCCTGAGTGCTGGGATTAAAGGCATGTGCCACCAATGATGGGCTTTGGCTTTATTTTTGTATTGATTTAGATAAATTAACCGTGACACAAGGAAATGTGTGTGGGGTCAAGCTGACAATGTGTGGACTTGTGGTAGTTAATTTTCATCATAAATATGACAAGATCTGGAACTAAGGGATAAACCTCAAGGTGAGTCTGTGAGGATGTTTCCAGAAAAGGGGAGAATATCTTGAGTGGGTAGCACTTTCTGATGGATAGCCCAGATACAAAAATACTTGAGGAGGGACTAGAGGGAAGGCTCAGTGGTTAACATCACTGACTGGCTCACAACTGTCTGTAACTCCACTTCTAGGGGAACCAACCTCCTCACACAGACATACATGCAGGCAAAATACCAATGCACATAAAATAAAAATAAACATTAAAAAATATTTGAGGCAAAAAGTGTTGCTTGCCTGCCTGCCTTTTGAGCATCTATCTTTAATGACATTAACTTCTTCTTCAGCCTTCCATTGTGGACTGAAGACCAGAAATTTTCTGAGACTTCCAGACCTCTGAGCACCAGACTGGAACTGTGAGGCATCCAGTGTCATAGACACATAACTACTGTGTTCTAGCCAGCTGCAAATGGCCGCTGTTGAACTATCCAGGCCCTGTTGATTGTAAACCACTCTAACAAATCGTGTGTGTGTGTGTGTGTGTGTGTGTGTGTGTGTGTGTGTGAGTGTGTCTGTGTGTGTGTGTGTGTGTACATCTTCTGCTTTTCTTCTCTTAGGGGACTCTACCTGATCAGGAGGACTGGAAGCAAGCAGCTGGACTGTAATGTAGAGAGGAAGGGGGTCCTTCGGGGACTTGGAATGACAAGGGTGAATAAGGATTTCGGAAGGAAAAAGGACCATGTAGAGAGAAAGCAGTACTTGAGTCAATGGCTTTGGAGGTGGTGCCCTTACAAATGACACTGAAATGTAAAGCATGACTCTGCAACAGTCACAGTGCAGCACAGAGCAAGGCATGCTGGGAATGAGGGGAGACCCTGAGGGAGGAACCCATCCAGGGAAGTGTGTCTATCATGGGTGAGGCCAAAGTGGTCCCTAATGGAAAAGAACAAAGTCAGGCTGTGGTGCAGCTCAGAGGCAGAGAGCGTGCTTCATCCCAGGACCACAAATAAAAACGCAATGCTCTAGTGGGACAATTGAGCCACTGATACACCTTGAGAGGGGCGGATAAGATGGGAAAGAATAAGACCTGAGGAGTTGAAGATGGATTACATCTCTCTTCTTCTCCCTCAGTGTTCCTGGAGGGGGACATAGGGGGATCATAGCTCATCTCTAAATGGCAAATGGCAGCCCAGAGAGGTACAGACACTGACCCAAGGGCAAGGATGGGCCAGGCAGGGGCCAGATCTTCAGCGTGCTGCAGCGAGGCCTCAAATCCATCAGTGGGTGCTGGATGGACCAGGGATGTCCGTGCTCTGTGCTTCCCTCCCCAGGAGCTCATGTGTAGGGCACATTTGCATAAATGAGGGGAAGAGACCTTAGACCATGAGTCCTGGTCATAATGTGACCTAAAGCAGGGAAGGGAGAGACAGAGAAAGGCCTCAGAGCTTGGAGTGGACAGATAAGAGCAAAGTGGATGCAGGGACTGAGGAGAGAGGCCTTCCCTAGGTTCTCCCTCACTTCTCTATGTCCTATGTTCCAGGCCTCTCCTGATCCGAGTTCTATGAGCATCCTTCCTCACCCCTTGGGAACACATCTACTGCGACACCCCGAGACCCACCTACTGCCACACTCACCATGGCCAAATGACCCCAAAACCAGTTCGGTTTAGGGGGCTGAGGGAAGCAACGAAGGCGGCAGCAGTTGTCATAAAAGACATAGCTCCAGGCCAGAATTCGGGCCAGAATCCAGGAGGCCCCACCCAGCAACAAGAGATGCCACAGGGAGGCAGCCATGGGCCCCAGTCCCAGCCAGGACAGGCTCAGCTGTAGCATCCTGCGGGGCAGATGGGCAGAGGGTGAGATTCTGAGGCCCGGGAGAGGGATGGGGATGTGCGGGTTACTGGATAGGGTTATAGCCATATAGACTGGGATGACTTGGAGGCAGAGAAGTAGGAAGGGCAAGGACCACACAATGAGAGAGGAGGAACAACAGGAGAGGAAGGGACTGCAGACAGGAGCTGTTTGCATTCTAGAATGACTCAGCCTGAAGCACAGGCCCTATGTGCAATTACCAGGAAACCACAAGTCTCCAAGGCCAGAAGACACCCTGGAGCCCTCCCAGCCCTGGGCAGACACCCTGCAGCCCTCCCAGCCGTGGGCAGGGTTCTCCCTGTTCAGGGCCAGAATCCTCCTTCCTGCCTCCCAGTCTGGCACCTTCTCTCAGATGCAGCAAATCTTCCAGGACCTCTCGTCTTCTTGGAAACGTCTTTGTCGCTGGCTTCTGACCTGCCGGAAGCTGGAAGCCGCGTGGGGAGTAGGACTGAGCTGAACCAGCCAATCCCTCCCAGGCCCAACTGCAACCTCCCTGCCTTGGCAAGCGGCCAAGGGGAAGGGAGAGGTAGGGCCCAGCCTTAAACAGACTGGAACAGGCTGGGAGCCACAGGTTTCGGCAGCCCCGGGGATCCTCAGGATTCAACACCTTCTGTCTGAACCAGGGACAGAGGTGCCTTGAGACTCCAAGTTTACAGCTGCATCTGCCCTCCCAAGGCCAAGGGTTGGCAGATAAAAACATGAACACTAGAGTTCAGGTGTCGGGGTGCCAGGTTCAAGCCACGCCTATTGCAGGACTTCTAGCTCTTCTGCACAGCAGACTGGGGGACAGCACGCAGCGTTTCTCCGTGTAGAACTGGGAGGCTCTGAAATGTCCCTGCTCATCAGCTACACTGCCTGACAGAGATCAATTTCTTCCGTTTTGCACCACAGCTCCTAGGTTGACAGAAGACTCCCAAATCAAGAACAAATACTGCAACTCTGCTGGAACCAACGGGGTCAGAGTCTATAGATTAAGTCCATCTGGAGGCTGAGGTGTCAGAGGTCCAAGGGAAAGCGTAGGGGTAGAGGAGCCATGACCAGAGGAGATACAGGCAGTGGAGGGCAGAGCTGGCCATGGGCTGGTGTCATAGATGCTCGTTAAGTATCGGGGCTCAGACAACTCCTGTAGCCAAGAGGAGGATCACAATTTCAAGACCAGCCTTAAGTATGTGGGAGAACTTGTCTCTAAATAAATAAATAAAGGTGGCTGTCCACACAGAACCCTGAGGGCATATTGAGGGCAAGATTGGGGGTTGTGCCAAATTCCTTAACCAGTTTGACAAACATAAATCGTCTCAAGCTAGAAAAGGTACTTTTTTTTTTTTTGATGGTGCATGTCTTTTTTTATTTTAATTTTAATTTTTTTTTTTTTTTTGGTTTTTCGAGACAGGGTTTCTCACAGAGATCTGCCTGCCTATGCCTCCCGAGTGCTGGGATTAAAGGCTTGTGCCCCCAACGCCCGGCTTTATTTTAATTTTTTTTATTAATTTACTTTTTACATTCCAAACCCAGTTCCCCCTCCCTCCTCTCCTCCTGCTTCCCCCATCCCCCTCCTCCCATCTGCTCCTCAGAGAGGGTAGGGCCTCCCCTAGGAAGTCTACTAAGTCTGTCCCATCATCTCATTGAGGCAGGACCAAGGCAGCTCTTCACCTCCACTCTCATTGTCTAGGCTGAGCAAGATATCTCCCCATATAGAACAGGCTCCACCAAGTCTGTCTGTGCTTTAATATTAGGTCTTGGACCCACTGCCAGTGGCCTCATATATTGTCCCAGTCACACCATTGTCACCTATATTAAGGGAGTCTAGTTCGGTTTTATGTAGGTTCCCCGTTTGTCAGATCTGAGTCAGTGATCTCTCACTAGTTCGGGTCAACTGTTTCTGTGGGTTTCCCCAACATGGTCTTGACTCATTTGTTCAGATTATGGCTCTTCCCTCACTTTGTCTAGTTCTGTCCATTTGCCTGTGAATTTTAGGATGTCATTCTTTCTTTCTTTCTTTTTTTTTTTTTTTTTTTTTTTTTTTTTCCTTAATTTTTTTCAAGACAGAGTTTCTCTGTGGCTTGGAGGTTGTCCTGGAACTAGCTCTGTAGACCAGGCTGGTCTCTAACTCAGAGATCCGCCTGCCTCTGCCTCCTGAGTGCTGGGACTAAAGGCGTGTGCCACCACCGCCAGTCGATGTCATTGTTTCTTACCACTGATTAGGACTCCAATGTGTAAATGTACCACATATTCTTTATCCATTCTTCAGTTGAGGGGCATCTAGGCTGTTTCCAAGATCTGGCTATTACAAATAATGCTGCTATAAACATAGTTGAGCGAAAAGGGACTCTTAAAGAAGGGGTCCTTTCACATATCTGTTGGTGTAAGGAATTCGGATCGAGGTGAATGCACCAGATGGTGGTACCTTGAGTCAGGCCCCACAGCAGGTGAGAGATGGTGTTAGGTGACGGGTGTGGGGAGGATGGCAAACAGAGACATGCAGATGTGGCATATGTGGAAAGTTTTATTGAGGGGGAAGTAAGGGAATGGAGAAAGGGAAGGGAGAAGGAGAAAGAAGAGAAACGGAGGCGGGGAGAGACAGGAAAAGTCCCTTCAGAGGAACAGTGGGAAAGAGAGAGTGTACAAGTGGGTGGAGTTTTCCTCTTACAGGAATCTTTGCATCTAAGACTAGCAGCCATAGGCTACTATGAAATTGTGATCCTCCTCTTGGCTACAGGAGTTGTCTGAGCCCCGATACTTAACGAGCATCTATGACACCAGCCCATGGCCATGGACTTCAGGGTACTGCCTGAGTGCATGCTGTCAGGTGACAGAAGGCAGGCCAGCATAATGCCTGATCACTACAGTTGACCCTACAGTGGTGTTGGAAGCTGCAGTGTGTCACTCAGTATACTCTTCTGCCCAAACAGCTTTACTTGTAAATGTTCATTCAATGGGTCATTGGTCTCTTTCAGGGCCTTTGACAACTGCTACACCATCATCACTGGACCGTTGCCGAGACTCCTCTTAAATATCCTGCTGTTGTGCTGAGTCGTGGAAATCCTTAGGCTATGATGGAGAGGCGGGAAAGGCTGAGGAGGGGAATGATACAAGTGCCCTGGAACCCTGGAAGCCTGGAAGTGGTGTTGTGACAGCTGGGATGGGAGTGAGAGGAGACTGTGGCTGATAGAGGAGCAGGGGGTCCCCAGAGGGGTTGTCGAGATATTTTATTTATTTTATTACTTTCTTTTGGAGAGAAAGTTACAAGAGGGGAGGGCAGATATGGAATGACCAGGAAATAAGTGGGATTGGGGTGCATGATGTGAAATTCCCAAAGAATCAATAAAAAATTATGTTAAAAAAAGAAGAGTCTCTTGGGAAATGTAGCCTTGTAAAAGTCAGCCTCCATCCTACTATGGTGGCAAACCATGCTTCCTCTCCCACTGAAAGGTGATTGTGTGTCTTCTGTGCCAACTTGGTTGGATGACATCACCCAGTTATTTAATGAAAAAGACATCTAGGTATGGCTGGGGGGTGTAGTTTGTATTTAATTTTCTTTATTGTATTTTCTCATGTGTGTGTGTGTGTGTGTGTGTGTGTGTGTGTGTGTGTGTGCGTGCGTGTGGAGGCCGTGCCATGACACACATGCCAGAGGAAAATTTATAGGAGTCAGTTCTCTCTTTCCATTACATGGATGCAGAACATTTATTTTGCACAGCACAGGGGGAGGGGTTAGCTGGTCGAGGCCTGGAATTTTCTGTTGGGGAGCAGTTTGGGATGGTAAGCATCCACATCAGGGAGGGAGGAGGAAGCTGTGATTGGCAGTTTCTGCACCCTCCATGAAGGGCCTAGGTCATCACCCAGCCCCCTGCTTTGGCAGCCATGACAGGCTGCAGAAAAGACCCAGCAAGATGGAGGCCCCTGACTCAGCAGGATGTGCTGAGCCCCCAACCTTGGCCAACCTTGGCCAACCTTGCCCTAGTCATCAGGAAGCCAGATACCCTCCATGTGGCAAGGAACCAATCAGAAGTTAACTGGTGGACTCCGGATGTGCCTTACCGATGACAGTGGAGTGCAGAGTGTGTAGCAACTGCCTCTAGGCATAGCAGCTGCAGCTGCAGCTGCAGCTGACCAATCAACACAGGATAGGGTTCCCAAGCCCAGAGGTGCACCAATCCTAAGAATGTTGCTATGCTACTAGCGGACCCCCAGACACTCCCCTTGCTCTACCCCAATATATTCCCTGCCCCACTGCTGCTCGAGGTCCCTCCTGCTTCAAGGGCTGTGTTGGATGGACCAGAAACCCGAGTAAACTCGTGAAATTAAAGACATTTTGCTTTTGCATTGGATAGGGTCTCTTGGTGATTTGGGGTTAGGTTGGTGATAGGTTCAGAGTTTGGGCATAGCAATGGTTTTAGCTAAAGTTTAATAGTTAGTCAGTACTCGTAGTTGGAGCAAGGGAAGACTTTGCCATCCTTCTGAGTCTCACCATTTCCATAGGTCTGCTTCCTCTGGGTCCTTGATGAGTCTGTGCTCTATCAATAACCACAGGCATTCAGGATGGCATTGGCTCCCTGCAGCCCCGCCCCCAAGGCATTCTTTCCTTAAGTTTTTTGTTTTTGTTTTTCAACAGGGTTTCTCTGTGTAGCTTTGGAGCCTGTCCTGGCACTCACTCTGTAGACCAGGCTGGCCTTAAATTCACAGAGATCCGCCTGCACCTGCCTCTGCCTCCCGAGTGCTGGATTAAAGGCTTACGCCACCAACGCTGGGGCTCCTTAAGTTCTTTTCAACATCTTTTTGTTGTTGTTATTATGAGGAAAGTAACTAATACAGTCAGCCTTCTGTTACTGTGGTAAAGTATATGAAATGAACAATTTATATGAATAAATGTTTATTTTGGTTCACTCTTTCAGAAGTGTTAGGCCGTAGTGAGCTGCTTTGATCGGTGAAGCAAACTTTTCATGGTGGCTGAAAGAAAGGAGAACAAAAGCCGAGGCCTCTAGGGCATACCACTAAACTCTAAGCTCCACACACTGGGCCCCAGCCCTGGCATCTTCCATCCTCTATATAACACTTCTGGCCAGGACCAGGCTTGAATCCAATACAGGAACCTTTGAGGAATGTGCTGGCTAGTGTTTGTCGACTTAACATAATAGAGTCACCTGGTAGGAGAAAGGCTGAACCAAGGAGATGTCTCCAGCACGGTAGGCAATGTCTCTGTGGCACCTTCTCGATTGTGGATTGATTTGAGAGGTCCCAGCCCATAGTTGGATGGTGGAATGA